AACTTGGTAAAACAGATGGTAATTCTGACTTTAAAATGCCTCATTATATCAAAGACAGACAATCACATATCTGCAAAGCTTGTGCAAATCACATATCTCCAATGATGTACATGGAAATTTCTAATGCAATGGTTTCTGACTTAGGAAGTGTTTTATGATCCCACTTAGTTTCCCAATTTAATGGACACATATTTGACATTTGAGAATTATTGATACACTAAACAAAGAATTTAGCTTCTTTGCTGACAGATTTTGGGAATTAAAAAATATGGAACAAAACAAAACAAAAACTAACAGTCTCATTCATTTGGGGGAATCAAGATTAAAAAGCATCATATGGGGCTAAGTTTAAAAACTTGCAAGACCTATACAATCATTGAATCTTCAAACACAACATATCTAAACTTTTGAATACTTTTGACATAAACATTTTCTTTCACTAACTGTTTTTTCTTTCATTCACTGTACCCTCTAGTCAAAAACTTCACAAGATGTTGCCTCCCAAACATTTCCACAAAGTTTAGCCATTCTATCTCACCCCCCCCTTTTCACTGTGATTGAAATTCCCAGGCTCTCCTTTCAGAGACTAAGACAATATCTTACTAGGGCATCTTGAACCTACTCTTCTCTAGTTCATTCATTGCATTATCCAGAGTAAGATTTTAATATATACCAATTTTAGCACATTATTCTCCCTCTTAAAATGCTCAAATGAAGACACTGCTTCTTAATCTGGCCTCTCAAAATGAGGAAATCTGGCCTCCCACTTCTCCATCCCTTGTCCCTTCACTGTTTAATCCAGCCACACTGGCTATCTTCCATCTCCCGAGAGAGCATTTGCATATAGCTCTTGCTTATCATTTTTCAGACCTTTTCTAGGTAATAATTTCTTTTTTTTCATCATTTCATTGGGGGATTGACTGCTTTTATAACATTCCATACATTACTTGTATCAAGCATATCTGTACATGTTGCCATCATCATTTCCAAAACATTTTCTACTTGAGCCCTCAGTATAAGCTCCTCTTCCCCCCTGCCCCATGAATCCTTGATCAATTATATAGTTATTATTTCATATCTTACACTGTCTGTTGTCTCCCTTCACCCACGTATCTGTTATTCATCCCCTTTGGGGGGGCTATATATCCAATCATGTGATGGGTTCCCCCTATGTCCCTTACCTCTCCCCAACCATCCCATTATCCTCATGATATCACTATTCCCACTACTATTCCTGAGGGATTTATTTGTCCTGAATTCCATGCATTGAGAGCTCTTATGTATACCAATGTTTGTTCTCTGGTCAAGCCAAATTTGTAATGTAGAACTGGGTCATGGTAGTGGGGGGAGGAAGCATTCAGGAACTAGAGGAATGATGTGTGTTTCATTGGTGCGATGCTGCACATTGGTTGAATCATCCCTTCCTTATAAGCCTTCTGTGGGGGAATATCCAATTGTCTATAGATGGGTTTTGGGTCTCCTCTCCAAATTCCCTCATTTACATCAATATAGTTGGGTTTTTTTTAAATTTTTTGATACCTGATACCTGGAGGGAGGGGGAGTGGTGTGAGGCACCAACAATTATTTCTAAAAAGATCATTACCCTTAGTATATGAACTTACAGCAGCCTTCTTTGTAGCACCTGCTCAACTGCAATTATATAATATATATAAATCCATAGATAAATTATTTGAACAATACTTATTTTCTCTTAGACTTCAGGCTACATAAGAGCAGGGGGTTATGTAGTTGATGCTTATCCATATATCTCTAGTATGCATCACATATTAAAACCAATTTGCACCAAGTCATTCTCAACATGTATCAGAGTAGAAAGATGCTCCGCAGGAATTTCCCTCCCCCTTAGGGATGTTCAGTGGTTGATATTTATGGAAGTGGATCACTATACTTTTCTTCTAAGGTATTTCTGGGTAGACTTGAACCAACAACTTCCCAGTTATCAGCTAAGCATATTAACTCTTTGTGCCACTACCTAAGGAGGCACGTTTTGCATTATGAGGTAGTTTATTGTGCCAACCTGGTCGATAAACACATGTGGGGTTAATTGAAGGGCAGAGGGATAAATGGCTCGTGACCCTCGCATTTCTAGTTCTCTGGTCTCTTGCTTTCTGATGGTCGGACCAGGGTGCAGCTGCCTTAGCCAGTTCCCTGCTTCAGCTGGCAAGGCTCACTTCCTGCAGACATCCCCAAGGGGAAGCCGCATGGACCTACCCCAATGCATCCCAGGGTGCTGGAGCAGCCTTGTGGAGACCCCTGCCGGTGCTGAGATGCTTACACATTCACTGATTCGGCTTTCCTCCTGCAGTTGGCATCATTGTGTGTGTTTTGTGAGATGGAGGAGGACTTTGTGGATTGGTGTCGGATATATGGGTTAATGTTGGACTTGTGGGCTTGGGCAGCACTGGGTGGGGATGTTTTCTTGATGTGCACTTAACCTTTATATAAAACACTCTCTTATACATGAGTGTCTGTGGATTTGTTTCTCGAAAGTACCCAGACTACCACACATGAACTACATATTAAGCAGTCAAAGACACTTACCGCAGTTGGTCTCATCAGTATTATCACCACAGTCATCCACCAGATCACATAGATGAAGTTGATCTATACAAGCCTTGGTGTGTTTACACCAGAAATGATCTGGTTCTTCACAGCTCTCAGCAGGAGGAGGAAGAGAACAGTTTTCAAATCTGATGTCGTCAATAGCGGAGACCCCATCATAAATGCCAAGGCTGACTTTATCTAGCGACAAGTAAAAGGGCTGAATCAGACGTCCAAGCTGAATAGTAGCCTCTGACCACTGGTTGCCCTGGTTGTATAAGACTCTCCAGAGTACTGTGGAGTCGGCAGATTTTCCCACGTGGAGTTGAAGTTCAGCTGCTCCCACCGACAGGCCATAGTTATAATACCTGGAAAAGAGCATTCACAAGGGAGAGAAGTAACCTAGGGAACACACTTAATAGTTAACTCTTGGACTCTTCCACTCAGTCAACAATTAATACCCAGTTCTCATGAATGCTGTCTTTGTTTTCTTCAGTAATTGTGGCTGACGATTTGCAAAAGCTTATCTGTTGAGGTACGTGTTCTGGGTCTCAGGACCCTGGGAGCCTTTCTCAAGGAGCTTTGAACAGAGAACACAGTCTTAATTAAGTTATAATCCACAGTTGCAGAGAAAGGGCCTCTTTCATGTTGAGAAATGAACAGAACAAATACTGATAACAGGTTCCCAAGCAAAATGCTAATTGTGTGAATGGAGTGTGAGAATTATTTTAAAGGAAAGCCTGGGGCAAAGTGCAACTGCTAATAAGTGCTAGAAGGTGCCTGCTACCACTGGACTGAGATACACGTTCAAATCTCATGTGTGGCAAAAAAAAGGAGATGTTTCATGTGCTGCACATGTTCTCTAGGGAAAATGAGCTTTTTTACACCAAGTGTGTAAAACACAGTGCTTGTGAAAGCCCATTCAATTATGTGTTACATGGTTACCTTAAATGTAAGCACACAAAAGCAATAATATCAAAATATAAAGCAGGGCCTCAAAAAAGGAAAATTGTTCATTAGTAATCTTGTTCTAATTCCATGTAGAGACTTCAAATGCCTTGCTAGAATTCAACAGAAACATTTACCTAGCATGCCGCCATCTCCCCAAATAAGACTTCCCTAACTTTCCACACCTGCATGTTTAGTATTAATATGTGGATATAAAATCCAATGACAAAAGGAGGAAGTATGCAGAAACATGCTGAGTGTTCCCGCTACATCACCATCAAAGTGTCCATAGATTATGGTTGGATTATAAAATGCAACACTGAGAAAGAAGTGAGGCCAGATGCACTCTCTAAGTGCGATATAACCCCTATTATGAAATATAAATTCCTTTTTCTGTGTCGCAAGAGTAAGTGGCCATTATTTATAATATTTACCAGAAAGAGAGTGTACATTCAGGCCCAGTCTGACGGAAAGTTGGGCTCCGGAGTTTAGCCATTTGTGAGAAACTGCTGCTTGTCTTCAGAATGAACATAAAATGTCCTATTGGAATACAAAACAAACCACTAGTTAGCCTAATGGGCCCTAAAGTAAGATATGTCTCTTTTACCCCAACACTGAATAAGTTATCATGCCCAACTTAACCCTAAATTAAGACCACACAACCAAAAAAAAGGCATGAGTGTTACTCAATTTTATTCCTACAAACATGACAATTTTATCCGTCTAAGTCTAAATTAGACAGAAAATTAGTGGTGAATTTTTTTAAATTATAGATATACCTTCTTCCTTTGCCATCCATAAAAGAATTATTCCATGTAGACAACAGAGCTAAAATTAACTCTGTTCAGCTAACCTACCATTACAACAACGTCGCATCTCTTTCTTCTGCCAAGCTTGCCCGAGCAATAAATTAAAGCAGCCCAATAGCTGCCGCTGCTTCCTTCTTACCTTGAGCCGTGTTGTGAGTATGATCTCGAGGGGGGGCCTGCTGCTGAAGTTCAGCTGACAGATCCCTTCTGGAACTCCAGAACCAGTCGAAATGATCACCACTAAGCACCTCGAACCAACCGCAGCTGTTTGCTTCAAAGTCGCACTTGGCAGCTGGAGAAGCAAAGGAAGGTTCCATTCTTACCCGGGCTTTCCAAAACGTTCACACGTTAGAAAGAGTCAAAGCTCAAGTGTCAATCCCCTGATTATCAAAGTGCATCGAAGGGAGGTCTGACAGTGTGGGAGGTGATACGCTGGGCCGCGAACTCAGCAGTTCAAGACCACCAGATACTCGGCAGGAGAAAGAGGAAGGATTCCACTTCAATGCTGGTTTAAAGTCAGAGAAACTCACAGGGACACCTTGACACCGTCCTAAAAGGTCATCATGAGTCCAAATGGACTCAATGTCAGTGAACTTGGGATGATTTTGGAAGAATGTCAACGGACACAGTGGAGGGAAAAAAGATAGTCTGATCAGAAAAAAAAATGTAGTGGTGCATTTCATACTGATCATTGATGAGGCAGGATTCTCAATTTAAGAAGTAAAAGTTATTTCCCAAATATTTGAAGAAATAGGATCATTCAGCCAAATAACTGATAGAATGGTCAAGGTTCTAAGATGTCGCTATCCCCATCGTGTTTGTGTTAGGCAGAAGCGGGAGTTGGCAGGGCAGGTGGGTTAGGAGACAGAGCTGGTGAAAACACTCCAAGGACCCTATGAGAGGCCAGACCCCCTTCACCCCTCTCCACCCTCCCTTTCAGTGGCCTTCAGGCCCAGATACAGAAGACTAGCCATTACAGATAACCTTGAACCCTGTTGCTTAGCTCCCGACCTGCAGACAACACGGTTACTGTGGAAAATTCCCCAGCTACTCCCTCCCTGCAGACCTGGGCTATAAAACTCTCCACCTCTCACCTGGACCCTGTGACTTCGAGGGGCCCCAACTGGGGGCCATGAACCTCACCTGGGAGCTCAGGATGCTCCAGTCCTGTTCTCTGCTCTCCCGTCCCTCCCGGGAGCTCTGAAATAAACCTCTGAAACATTTTCTACCTTCGCTTTCTTTCTTTCTGTCTGTCGCCAAATCAATCTCACAGTTAGTTGCCCTGCGGTGATGACCTCCGCTAGAATGTGTAGGTGTCCTGAGAGAAAGCAGTTTCCTTTTCTGAATCAAATTATGTCCCTCCAAAAGATATGTTGAAGAACTAACCCTATCATCATGAATGGTGAATGTGGCTTTGTTTCCCCTTTTCTTTGCAAACCTTCCCCATTAAACAAAACTCTACAGGTGTGTGGGTTGGGTCTGCATTCTAATCTGTATGCCTGACATTTCATAAAAGAAGGACAGACACAGGAAGAGAGTCACATGCATGGGATTTGTTTACAAGTCAGGGAACCCCACAAAATGCTGAAGGCTGCAAGAAGCTGGGGAACAAGGGAGGATCTTTCTTGAGAGCCAACAAAAGAGAGCATGGCTCTGCTAATGTTTTGGATTAAGACTTTTACTCTCCGTAAGAAAATACATTTCTGCTTCCTGAAGCCACCCATCTAACCTACCTTTGTTATATCAGCCCCAGGAAAGGAGGGCATTTATTTAAAAAAAAAAAAAAAGATAAAAATCCCATGCACATACAAAAAATTCTTAATACTGGAAAAATTCATATACACTATACTTAATATAATGCTCCCTTTGATGTCTGTAGCAACCTCTATTCATAGAGCACTGCCTGAATTGCTTAGTTCATGCAAGAAAGGATAGCTGTCCTACTTTTCAGATAAATAAGCAGAGGAGATAATTCACTTCTACAAGGACATACTTGAGCAGGAAGAGGAGAAAAGAGGAAAAAGGGAATAAGAGAAAATTATAATAGTAACATGTAGTATTTACTGAACTAAGTTATACACTAGACTATGTTCTGCATGTGTTGAAGAGGAAAAAAGGCCAGGAGTTCGTTTTATGCTAAGATAGAAAGAAAATAAGCTATTTCTATTGTATAATAATTCAGACAGCTACCTGAAAAAGATTAAAATGTATTATTTTCAACTCAGAGATATATTTTTGTGGAAATAAATGGATATCCTAATAATAATAAATTTTAAACAACTATTGAAACAATTCCTTCTCGCACAATCCTACAAAGATAATGATTTTAGCAGATGGTTATGCCATGAGAATTCCATATGTATTCCTTTTGAGTATGCTTTGTTTCCATGTTTAGATACCTAAACACCTTTGTAATAAGCACCTACGTGGGTCAGAGAGGTAATAAACAAATAAATTAATATTCTGGTTAACTGCTAACCAAATGCACACCTATTAGAACTGAAAAACCAGAAAATCAAATGCTGCCCTGCGGTCATTCCCAATTCCTTGAGACCCTACAGGACAGGGTAGAACTTCCTCTGGGTTTCTGAGACTGTCCCTCTCTACAGGAGTAGATAGCAAAGCCTCATCTTCCTCCTGCAGACCGGCTGATGACCTTGAACTGACCCTGTGGTTAGGTGCTCAACATGAAAACCACTATGCCACTGGGCTACTCCATCTATGAACAGCTTTGGAAATTTCGGGGGGGTTATTTCCCCTTTTTTTTGGGTTCTTTCGTTTTTTTTGATTTCCTTTTTTACCCTTTTGTTTTTTTTCTACATCTTAATGTTAGTAATACGTAATAGGTATATTATAAATTAAAAACTATATATAGCATGTTTGCTTGCAAGTATTTAAATATTGGGTTTATAAAGACACTGGTAATAAAAGTCATTAATGATGAAAACTAAAAAAGTATTCCACTTACCTCAGCACTAGTTTAACCACAGTGTCATCGAGGAGATCCCCATTTTAAGTCAGGACTACCTGTGTATCCTTTTCTGACTTGAAGATACAATACTCTGGATAGATTTTAACATTTAATACTCAAGAATTTATAACTATTTTAGGAACACCAATATCACCACCATCAGAATCCTCACAATTACAATCACAACTGCATTTTTCATTTCCACAGGGTTTATCATAAACCAAAGTTTGAGTCTTGCAGCAGGACTGTTGATGTAGAATCCCTAAAGATTGTGCTTGCATAATCTGTGGTTATAAGTCTCAAATTAGTGACTCTAAACCTTACCAATCACTAGTATGAGAATGATTCCCAAGTGTCTTCTCTTGGTTGTGTATGCATTATTAGAATAGTGTGGGGTGGTGGGGAAGATTGCTAAGGAAGATATTTTTGTACTTACAAATAGATCCATCACCTACCCACAGTATTATTCTCATTTCAGAGCTCTTGCCTGAAGTAAAGAAGATAAATGTATGTGATGGCCAAGAAATCTTGTGAGAGAAATGAATCCATGATCAGATCCCATCTTGTTTCAGATTCATTGTCCAACCTCTAAAGCTGGTTTAGGATAATCTCTAGTGAAGTTCATTTGCACAGAATCAATATTAAGTATGCAATGAGGAAGTATAGGTTGAAAATTCAGGCCTCACATACACACAAAATAGAAAATTAATATGAAGAAATATATTCAACACACAAAGTGGCTGAATTAGACAATTCTCCCTGGTTTAGCCCATGGGCAAGATGCTCATGCTTGGTTGTGCTTTAAGGCTGAAGCAGTGAACAGTAATTTTAAGCAGTTTGAAATCCAGAGCTCACCTGTCAGCTCCCACTGTGAAGTACAGAAGAATCTGAAAGTGCCGGGGTATAGAGACCTCATGGACAATATCCACTAGATGTACATGTCACTTTATTTAATCCTTACAAAATATCCAAGAACTTTTAACTGGCCCTATGTTATAAATGAGAAATTTAAAGTTCAGGTAAGAGTTAGCATATTTTATGGGTTAAATTATACCCCCTAAACACATGTGAGGTGAATTCTAACCCCTGGATCTGTGGTTTCAGGAGAAAGATGGGGGTTTCTACTCCCATAAAGAGTTGTAATGTAGAAAACTCACAGAGATAGTGCTGCTCTGACCTATAGAGACCGAGTGTCCCTATGAGTTAACATCAACTCCGTGGCAGTGAGTGGGGGTGAGGGCTTTTTGTTTGTTGGTTGGTTGGTGGACCTATGATTATTCCCATTTAGGAGTGTTTTTCTTTGTAAAGTTAATGAGACATTATTAGTATAGTATATCTTGAATAACTTGCTTTTGAGACACAAAAGAGGAAATTAAGCAAGGAAGCAAGTAGGCAGAGAGGAGAGAAGAAATGAGCCATAAGCTTGCCAAGGAATGCAGGAATAGAAGCTAAACGAAAAGAGAGAGAGAGAGATCTCCTCCCAGAGTTAACACAGAGAGAAACCTTTCCTTAATGTCTAGCAACCTAAATTTGAATTTCTAGCCTCCTAAAATATAAAACTGAACTGTACCTGTGTATTCCCAAGGCTGGCATTCTGTAGGGAGCATAAAGTCTCTTATGAGTCCACACAGACTCCATGGCAGAGAGTTTCATTTGCAATTGCTTGGAAGTTATGTGAAAATAAACGTCTGCTTATTAAAGCCACCCACTTGTGGTATTTCTGTTATAGCCCTACTGGATCATTAAGAGAGCATATAATTTATCAGTGCTTATTTCTAGTGACGCAATCCCAATCAAGTTTGGCTCAGATTCATTTTAAAAGGTCATAATAACTAATACTTTTAACCACTATTATTTGGCAGACATTCTTGTATGTGTCCAACCACGTGTCTGTCAGTTTGTCATACTGCAGTGGCTTGTGGGTTACCATGATGCTGGCAGCTATGTCCCTGGCATTTCAAATGCCAGCAGGGTCACCCAAGGTGACTAGGTGCCGAACCTCCAGACTAAGAGCAGACCATGAAGAAGGACTTGGCTTCAGAGCATTGTCAAGTACTGAGGACCTAATGAATGGAAGCAGAACATTGCTGGAGGTAGAAGCAGAGGATGGGCCCCCAGGTTTGAGGGCAATCAGGATGTGGCCGAGGAGGAACTGGTTTCTGAGAGTGGAGCAGGAGTCAGGTCAAAGCCTGTGGGATTGGAGCCTTCAAGATCTTCATTTCCGGATGGGGTCCAACTCAAGATAAAGAAGAAAAGCTGAAAATAATCTTCTAATGATTGTAACTTGAAATGTAAGAAGCATGAATCTAGAAAATTGGAAG